CCTCCTTTTTCAATACATCTCTCTCGGCACACAATTCTTCATTCTTCTTCATGATATGATGCAATCTACGGCTACAACCAAAGCTAACAGCATTAACCTATACAAAACAACAAACGTCAAAAGCTATCAAAGAAATCTCTAACAGCATAAACTTAGTATACTTACACGATACACAGCCAGATCCAGATCCTCCAACAAAAGTTTAGTATTAGTATTCTGAATCTTGGCCAAATCACTTGGCAAAAGAGATGACATTACAGCACCGCCAGCAACATCAGGGTCACTCGATCCAAAATCCGCCATACTCAAACGCCGACCACTCACAGTAGTAGGTTTACGAAACAAATACGGAGCTCGGATGCCTTCTCTCCTCAAAACCTTCTCATCAACAAAACCCTCATCAACATACTTGTCATTACCAGCATTATCACCACGATCAACCACACCAACAACATCTTTGAAACTGCTACCAAAATCCTTATTAACAACAGATGGTCCATCTTTACCTGCAACATAGGGTTCACCAGGAGCAAAATTTTCTACAGAAAAGTTTCCTGCATCTTGACCTTGATCTTCTTCACCTGAGAAGTCTAACTGATCCAAATCAATAGCACTCTCATCCATTGGCTTAAACTTTAAATTGAAATCAAAATTTGCTTCCATCACCGAACGAGAAACAGGAATCTTATTCCGACTACGCCGTCTACCAGCTACACTAACAGATTCACTAGTGCCCTCGGAACTACTCACAACATTCACCTTTCAAGAACTACTTTTTGAAGTTTTGGATTTACTCAAATCCTTGACACTTCTATCACCACGAAAATGACTCTCCTTCGGCCCGCCGACAGGAACAAACAAAGGAGCCTCTGTCCCGCGAGCGTCAACCCTGACAGCGTTGATAGGGTGATTTCCTTTACAGCTTGCACCAGTAAGAGATTCTAAAAGGTCATAATCACTTGCTTCTCCAAGAATTTGATAAAAAACAGAATCACTAGACTCCGACGGCCAGTCCTTATCTATGTTAACTGTTACAAAACAAAATCAAATTAGCAGACGACTAACAACAAAAGGACAGACAGCAAGCAACAAAAACAAACCTCCATCATTGAGTATAGGAAATATGAGAACAGAATCCATTCCACTATCAAAACCACCAAACTGATCCTCAACAATAAGAGGAAAACTCGGCCAATCCTTATCCCAAGTCCTAAGGTCATGGACCACAGGCCTCTTGTGAGAACGCAAGTAGAAATGGTAATATTGAGGCCATGAAGTATCATTTGTCCTCAACATGTAGTGCTTCCTAATGTCCAACAAGGTAACAGTATAGTCGGGGTGAGAATTGACATTGTTGAAACACCTCATCAACCGCCAAAAGTTCCCCACACCTTGTCCAGGGGAAATTCTATAGAAGTTTAAAACTTCTCGATCAAGAGGGGTTAAAGGAAAACGCAAGCCGACACTTATCTGACCAGCCGTCACCAATATCGACCCTGGCAGAAATGGCCGATCATGATGACAATATCTAAGATGAGAAGCAAGATGACTCAAAGAAACATCCTCTGGAATTTCATACATCTGCCTAAAAACCGACAGAACTGGCCTCCACTCATATAACGACGGCTCAAAACGATCCAGCCAGTGTTTCAGCGCAACAATAGCAGTACTCGGAGCCCCCGGGGGTTTCAAATCCCCATCACGAGGTCTTTTCAAATATTCAGACCAGTCTGGCTTTTCCTTCATTATTCGAAAAGACGGGGGCGACGGGGGTAACGGAGCAGAAAGATGATTTCCTAATCAACGAAAGGATCCAAACTCAGAACCCAGGAATAAAAGCGGTTCCTATATCGATTTCAACAAGTCAAAAATAACAAAATATGGACTCACCAACGAGTCAGAATCAACGAAAGAGAACTCACCAACGAGTCAGAGAACACAGAAAACACCATTGAAACAAAACTCAAGTATAGAAGACAGATGAACAGACTCAATAACGCACTTACAGATAACTAAAACCAAATAGACAGGAAAAGAAGAACAAACAGGGTAGAATTCCTTACCGGAAAGCAAGAAGAAACCCTAGCAAGACCCCCACCAAAAGATCAGCAGCAAGGAAGAGTAACAAGCTATTCTCCAAAACCAAAATAAGCAAAATGAAGAACAGCACAACAGAGAAGATTTTATAGAAGGAAGCCGTCGATTCAGATAACTAGAACTGGGAAGACCAAACGGTGCTTTGAGTAACGAAGCGTTCAACGGCCATAATTATAACCCATCAAATCGAGCGCGAAACCCAAATCTTACCCAACAAGTAATCGAAAAACCTATCACGTGATGAAGACACGTGTCAACTGCTTACGTGTTAAAAGCTCACGTGTTAATCTCTTACGTGTTCGCAGGAGTAATCCGTTAGACTGTTCCTCATCTCTCGGAACCGCCATAACCGAGGCCTCCTACGGATCCGATAGGGGGCGATGTAAGTACCATAGATCCCACTATGATTTAGCTTACGTAATATTTTGTCACGTGAGCGGCACAGGCTCCAGTTATTTACCACTTGTTTGACCACAATCAAACAAGTAAGAGAATACAAGGTTAACATTGTCCCATGTGGCACACCGTACGCCGACAGATCTGAATGACTAATCCAACGATCAGGAACAATTAGGTATGCACTCCTATAAATAGGGACAAACACAAGATCCCAGGTATGTTCCATCCCATCATCTACAGTAGCCACTTCATTCCTTAAGTTCCCCATTACTGGATCTTTACTAACTTAAGCATCGGAGGACTAACGCTGTAATCCCACCGGCGCCCCTCTCTATTTGTCTTTGTGCAGGTTGACCCGTATCTCGAGGAGGAAACTGTAGAAAGGGACATACAAATGTCTCAAACATATTAATAGAAGACCATGATAAGCTAACATTCAGACCTTCCATATAGTCAGCAGCGCGCCCCTTTCGGATCCATCTCTATGACCGCCTTCCTTAGTTGGCGTCTGATGCACTCGTGGTGATACGTACAAATACTAAAGTGTCGTTGGGTATTTTTCTTAATTAAGTTCTAAATTGTCTAAATACTTAGTAAACACTTAATGTAACTTAATACCATTCTAAAATCTAAATACAAAACTTAATTTTGGTTCAGCATTTCAGGCTTTAATCCGGCCAAATTTTATTGGCTAAATGACTTATTCTAAAATATCACTTAAGGACCTATTAAGCACTGAACCACTTAACGGTAACAAACAGTCTGAAAACTAAATACGGTGGTTCACCGTACCCCTTTCAGTTCATTCTTTAGATCTACATGCTGAATGAAAAACAAAAAAACACATAAGGCTGGCAGGCAAGCTATTCCATGCATAATGATGCATTCTCTCATGGTTTGTTGAATATAAATTTTGTTTGAATAAGCTTTTTAAAGGGGCTTTTGGCTTTTGCCATTCCCTATAATCTTGAAAGAGAAAGGTTCACTACTTCACTAGTGATGTATAGAAAAGGGAAGGTAAGCAAACCAATGTGTGTTCCCTAGTGCAGACCCAAGGCAGGGCTTTTAAGCGCCGATGTCTCCGCTTTATTGTATAAGACTATGATTTTAATATGTATGTAATACATTACCTTCGATCAGAAACTTCTTTTTAAGACTCCATCTAGACAATCCTTTGCTGACATTCTGCTCTTCTGTTCCCAAGATCCTCCTCACTCCCACTTTTTCATGTACATGTTGTATGCTCAACTGCACATATATATGATAATGATCTTCAATTTGTTCAACTTATTAGATTAATTAGAAGATAGCACATATTCTACCTAGTTTCCTAAAAACCATTAGACCAAGTGATCATTCAATTTAAATAATAATGATGAATAAAGCAATGAAATTGTTTAATACATATATAACAAACACCATTATATTAAAATATACAAAGAATATGGAAATATATAATAAAGTTCATATGAAAGCTATGACATATGCCAAGAAAAGTATTTTATTTGCTTTTAGATCAGTCATATTTATTATATAAGCATGCAAACCTGAGAATAAAATGAGTGAAGTGAAAAGAGAATTAAGTAGAAACAAAACATAAAGGATGTTTTGAAGGGGTTTTGGTTGGAGAATATTGCAGGTGCATGCGCAAGAGAAGGGGGCGTTTGATTTTATGAGTACAATCTAAGCATGCATGACAATTGACATACACTAAAGTAAGTTGCTCCCTCTTGGCATCATTCCACTCACAACCTCAAACCTTCATTCCCATCCCGAGGTAACCCTTCCTCTCCATTATACATTCTGATCCTTTCTTCTCTTCATCAGTCCTCACTCTCATATATGCTGAAGCTTAATCCCTTTTATTCCCTAGCTTCATCAACTTATTCAATCTCCCTTCAATTCATTTTCCTTATTGATTTCATCATATAGATAGCTTTTAGTTTGTGTTATTAAAAAACCCAATGGAATGCTATATATTGCATGGTATGAAATAGGCTCAAAGGTCATGGTCATCAGGTGAGCAGTGACCACCACCACCACCACTTCAACCACTACCAGAGATGGAAATACAAGAAAATTGATCAAGATGGTGTATATATTAAGCTGAGTTTTTGTTTGTTTTCGAAAAACTCTGGACCCCGGCCTTTTTCTTATCTTTTGCATTTGCTATGCATCTAAGTGCAATCATGATTCAAGTTTCCATATTGACCTTAACCATTTCAACCACCAACAATACCATTTCCTACTCCACCAACCTATTATATTGCTTTTTCCAAGTGGGGATCCATATGATCAATAACACTAATTAAAACACAGTGGCTTTTAGCTCAATAGAAGGGTCGGATCTGTTTTCTTGTTTTTTTTCATTTCCTTTTTAGAAAGCCGAGTTAAGCACATAATTGCTTAAATTATATTTTCAGTGTTTCTCAAGTGGGATGTCATGACCATGAGCTCTTGCACTTTTCATCAAAGCAGAAATTGATGGATGTTGGAGATGCAACGAACGAAAGCGATGTTGGTGAGGTTCAATCCAAAGACGTCTGTACATTCGGATTGTAGAGATGAATCTAAGATTGAGCCGTGCCAATATCACTTTCTCCACTGACTTTATCAAGTTGTCCTCTAGCTAGCTCTCAATTGCCAGGTTTCATTGCAAAACTACACAGATCTCTCCATTATCTACTGGTACATATATATCATATTTTTTCTTAATTTTTATTTTGCATGAATATTACATGAAAGACTACTAGGTTTCCGACACATTTTATCATAGGATGTAGTTATATAAATTTAGTATAAGCCTATATATATGCACGCATATACGATAGCATTTTTGTGTCTAAGAAATCATTTTTAGCATTAGTGTGTTTTCCTCCTGTGTATGCATCATTGCATCATTGTATATTTGTTTTCACAGTTACGGATCAAATAATTGAATTGCATGTCTTTCATTTCCCATGCAAAACAGGAAGCTAAGCTAGAAGGTTAACATGCAAAAGACACATAGTAAATCTAAAACATGTTACCTGGTTGTAATTGTGTCTTGATGTTAAGAATGATCGGAGTTTGTTTTGTGCATGAATCTGACATTCGTTTCATGTTTGAAATCATTCCGTGGTTAGGTTAGAGGTCTACAGGTTATCTTGCGTCCACGACATTGTTAATTAGGAGCTCATCTTGATATGCGTACAATCCGTGCAAGGAGTTTCCATGCATGGCTTTCAGTTTGTATTTATCAGTTTTGATGTTGTCTGTCCGGACAGACAATTTCCTTGTTCAGACAGGAAGCAGACAGTTTGTTTGTAGTCTCTTGTCAGAACACTCATTTTCCTTCTCCGAACAAACAGCAGGCAGATCCTTCGTAAGGTACGTAATGTCTGTCCGGCCAATACGTTGGCCAATACGTTTTACTTTCTTTTGATCTCTCAACCCTAATATAAATAGGTATATTCGAAACCTATTGTAAAGAAGTTTTTGGCCGTCTTCTTCCTCCATTAAACCTTTGTTTGTTTGAAACAAAAACTTCATCATGTTCTTCAATCTATCTTCTTCCTTCTTCGTTATTTCTTCATTGAAATGAGTGCTTGGACTTCGTTAATTAGTTGTTTGTGCACATATCAAGGTTCTCTGGTTAAGTTTTTGGTGTTGGAGATAATCAGTATTATCAGACTCGTAGGTGTATGCAGGTAGTTTGAAAGGCTTGTAAATCATTAAATGATTTTATAGTGTGGATTGTTTACTACCGTGATCGAGGGTAGTCGTGGATGTTTCTCACCTGGGTTTTACAACATAAAAATCTTTGTGTCTCCATCTTTTTTATTGCTTTAGATTTATTATTTTTGTTTGTTTTGATACAATATATTGCATTTATTGGTGTTTGGATTAGTATCTTTGTTATGGAGTGTAAAGCCTCAAGCATAGATCTTTAGTGCAATTGTATGGATTCTGATAAGTTTGGAACATCTATTCGTCTTCCTTAATTTATATGACAGAATTATTTTTTCTTATTGGAAAGTTTGTACGGTTGCATATTTGCAGGCATTAGGTGGGGATGTGTGGATCATTTGTAGAAGATGGGTGGTCACCACTGACGGTTACTACAGGTAATGGAGACAGGGTTGTTAAAGTTGGAAGTTAAAGCCACAAAATACAAGAAAAATTTGCTTCCACTGACAATAAAAGAGGGCTCAATGATATATTTATGGCTTTGAACGTTAGTGAATTTAGGCGTGTTAAAGGTTCTACAACATCCAACGAGGCTTGGGATAGGTTGGTATGAACTCATGAGGGTGACTACGCTACAGTCAAAGAGAGTAAGCTTGAACTTTTTATTACTCAATTTGAAACTATATATGAATATGAATAATAGTGAAACCTTCGATGAATTTTTTTAGATCTTTGCCTTATAGATTTTGTTCAATGAAATATGTCAAGAGAGCAATGACTTAAAGATCATGACCATAGAGACCTTAGCAGGAAAATTGAGAACATATGAACTTGAGGTTCAACTTGAGCAACCTCAAAATACATCCTTAGCTTTTAATGCTGGATCTGTTGAGGATGTGTAAGATTAAGAAATTAATGATGATGGATCTGTTGACATTAATAAACATGATGTGTTATATTTATAGTTGAATTAAAAAGATTTTAAAGTTTCGCGAAACAATGGTCTGACTAAACATGGTATTTAAAAGCGTAAACATCCCAAGAAATTTGATCAACAAAGTATACAGAAATAGAAAATAAAACTGTGCATACCACTTGGGAAGATAATGATAGTGGGGATGATGATGATGTAGTAGACGAGAATGTTGCAAATTGTGTTGCCTAACAATATCCAACCTCGGGTAACCACTATTGTTGATATGAGTTAGATAATCAATACAAAGCTTTACATAAATGTATTAACCTAAATTTAGACTAACACACTACTTTAGGTCGGATTGATAATGAGGATCAAAAGGGAGATTTGATAATGGAAAGGGCTGCACTTCGGTTGAGGTCGAAGTTGCCTACGTACTCTAGTTCGGGGATGTTGAATTTAGAGATCAAGCCACCGTAATTCTTAGGTTTTATAGAAGATGAAGAGGCGGTGATCAAAAGATCTTCCTTGATACGCAAGATAAGTGATTGTGTTATAGAAGGTAACAAGTAGTCCGCATGTCGATCGGATATCTTCAGTATCTAATTGTGATACGTTTCTATATTAGTACTGGCCGAGCTGATAAATCGAGTGAAGTAGGTCGATGATGTCATATCAGGTCGGGTCGGTAGTACTTCTTCAGGTCGGTTATGATGCCACGTGTTGCATTTTGATTGGTTGATGAATGTAGTACCACTGCATAAGCCCCCTCTTTTTAGTTCGAGTGAAGATCGAGCTGAAAAGAAGATAAATCTTGAATCTGCAAAGCTTTAAGGTCGTGTTAGTACATGTGTTAGTTGTAATAATGACATATAGTGGGAAGTGGAACTGTCTGGCCTCGAGCAGTTGAGCCGTCAGACAAAATAACTGCAACACGTTTGTTTAAATCATCTTCAGTGTACGCGTGTCTAGATCTAACGGTGGGAAGTGAACGGACGAATTAGTGGAGAATAATTGTCTGTCGTTTCATTTGTCGAAGATCGCAGCCGTTGATGTAAACGAGATCGACGGTGCAAAAGTAATTGAATCATCTATAAAAGGGCAGTCGTTATCAATAGAAACCCTTATTCACTTTTCACTAGTCGAACTGCTGCTGCGCTGTTGTCCGAACTGTTGCAAACAAATCGTTAGAGGTCAGTTCTCTTATCAATTATTCTAATTCCTTTGTCAATTTCTTCATTTCATCATGTCTTCTCCATCGGATTCGCAAAATGTTAGCGAAGAAACCATGAGTGTAAGTTCTGATAGTTCTTCGGCTGAAAGTATAAGGGAAATTGCTGAAGTTATAGGGGAAGGTAGGCCTAGTACGAGTGCTGTCGATAGTGAAGATGAAAAGCTTGTTGACCATAATGGGAAATCCATTCGAGTTGTCAATACCAAGTATGTGAATAATTATTCTAATGTCCGGTCTCTGTATGGCTTGTCTAAGTTAGTCAATCTTGAGATCCGCTTTCTTGGTGATGTTTTGTTGTCTCCTCAGTACATTCCAAACAATCCTTTTTCTGTTGTATTCACCCTAGCCCAATTCCGAGCTGGGTTAAGGTTGCCTCTATCCGACCTGGTGGTCGAGTTTTTGAATACCATTCAGCGAGCTCCCTGTCAAATGAATGGTAATTTCTGGAGAAATATGCTTGTGGTGAATGAATTGAATCGTCTCCATAAGTATAAAATTGGTGTCAATGATCTTCTTAGTCACTTTTCGATAAAGAGGTCGTAAAAAACCGAGCTGTTAGGATACAACCTGCAGGTTAGGACAGGTCGATGTCCGCTGATTCATGGTGTATCGAGTGAACATTGGTGGGAAGACCCTCTGCTTGTTACTGGTCGAGTGACCATTAAGTATGCTTTAGATCATGTCTTAATGAATCCAGTAGATGAACGTGAGTATGTTATTTTTAAGCAAAGTACTCTGTGAGAAATATAATTGACACTAACATCACCTCTTGTTGTTTTTGTAGCCATCAAAGAAGACAAAGTCTATGGGAAGTATGATCCTGTGAATCCTCTGAACCTTTTTGGCGCTAATTCTGATGCTCGAAAAATTCAATTGCTACCCTAGCTGAAAGACTTGTTCACTCCAAAGGGTGGTTCTACTACGGTCGATCGTGAGCTAGCTCGGAGGAAGGAGTTGAAAGCTGCCCTGATGGCTACCTGTCGTGCCCGTAATGCTGCTGAGGAGAAGAGGCTAGCTAAGAAGAATGACAAAATAGTTGATGTAGACGACCTGATGCCGCCCACAACTGTACCGAAGTTCAATGTCAGCTCGAAGAAGCGTTCCCGATCTGGAGTTCTGAAGATCGGACCCGAGCCACAGCTTATACTACCAGTCCCTTCGTCGAAAAATACCCCGATCTCCGAATCTCGACCTGTTTCAAAGATAAATTCTGGTCGAGGTAATAAAGGAAAAGAAATTGCTCAACTCTTTGCTCCAAAATCCTTCACTTTATATCCTTGGAAAGGATGAAGAAACTCAAGTTATGGTTAATGATAGTGCTTTGAAGAATCCCCTAGTTGCTCGTGCCCTGAATGAAGGAATTGTATTGGATGCTGATGCTGCAGCAGTTCGGAAGCAAAGTTTATCCAAGCTCTGTTCGCATATGAACTCTTGCATAGCAGTCGTAAGTTGTTTAGAATGCATTTTTTTTTTTGTAGAACTCAGTATCACACGATGCTAACTGGTGTTTGTTTGGTGTGTAGTTGAATGCAAATTACCAGGGCTTGAGGTTAATTGTCGAGTCGGGAGCTGATGTTGATCTTGAGTTGAAGCAAGTAAAGGATGCCCTGAATCAATATAAGAATCGAGTATATGTGGTTGAGCAACATGTTAAGCACAAAGACAGAGAGCTTGCGGAGAAGAACTCTGGAATTGCATCACTGAAGGAGAGCTTAAATGAAGAAAGGTCAAAGAGGGTTGAAAATCATAACGCTTGGAAGCTGCATTGCAACCAGCTGACTGCTCAA